TCCTATTCCGTTTGGAAAACGTACATTTCGCATATTCGCTTCTTCTGCCTTCGCAGCGTCCAAGACGGCCCAAGAGACCCCGAAGACCACCAAAGGCCCCAAAACGGCCCACGACACTCCCAAGACGGCCCAAGAGAGGCGCCTGAGGGGCCCAAAAGGTTCCCAAGAGAGCCCCAAGAGGGCCACAGGAGGTCCCCAAGCGGGCCCCGGAGTGCCCCGAGAGGGTCCCAAGACGGCCACCACGGCACAACATCAGCAGGGCTCCAAGACACGAACTAAGCCAGCGAACTCGCGCCCTCACAAAGTTCACGGGCTTTCCATCCCAGTGCCAAGCAGGTAACGGAAAGAACGAGGTACGAGTGATGACGTTCTGGTGGGACGAAGCCATCTAGGGAGGGAGGAGGAGGGAGGAGGAGGGAGGAGGAGGGAGGAGGAGGGAGGAGGAGGGAGGAGGAGGGAGGGAGGAGGAGGGAGGGAGGGAGGGAGGGAGAGGAGGGAGGGAGGGAGGGAGGGAGGGAGGGAGGAGGAGGAGGAGGAGGAGGGGGAGGAGGAGGAGGAGGAGGAGGAGGAGGAGGAGGGAGCGAGGAGGAACGAGGAGAGGAGGAGGAGGAGGAGGAGGATTCAGGAGGAGCGAGGAGGAGCGAGGAGGAGCGAGGAGGAGCGAGGAGGAGGAGGAGGAGGAGAAGGAGGAGGAGGAGAAGGAGGAGGAGGAGGAGGAGGAGGAGGAGGAGGAGGAGGATCGAGGAGGAGGAGGAGGAGGAGGAGGAGGAGGAGGAGGCCAGCCGGGGCTGCCTGGGGGGGCTGTCTTTGCATAGCCCAGAGCCTTTCCAACGTACACTGGTCCTGGGCAGACCGATCCTGGGCCCAGGATGGATGCACATGCCTTGTTGGCCGAGCTGGGGCCCAGAGCTGGGACGTCGTTTATTTTTGGCAGCATGGGACCCTGGAGATGTGGACGCCTTCCCTCGGCGTCACCCCAAGATACTAATACTGTGTGTGCGTCGCCCCCCCAGGGGCTACGCGCGCACCGAGAAATCTTTTTGCTATGTTTCGTGGCGGGCGCTTTCTGGCCACATCGCTCGGGAAACGGTATACTACAAGATGGGTATACTTCTGTTCGGGTCGGACGCTCGCCTCCAAGGAGAGCATATGTTACTAGTATGTCTCTGTGCGTCCCATTCCCTGGGGCAGGCGTCTCATCCTGAGTCGCTTTTGACGGCCCCAGGGCCTGGCGAAAGCCCCCAGAGCCGAGAACGACGAAAATCATCTACGCCGCTCCTGGGCCCAGGCTGGGGCTCTTTCTGGCTGCGCGCATGTGCAGAGCCGGCGCCCTCCCAGGCGGGGAGCCGCACGACGCTGCGCCGGTGCATGTCGGAGAGCACAAGCGGCACGTGGCACACGAGCGACGCAGAGCAACGGTGTCGTCCTCACCGGGCAGTGGCGCGTAGGAGTCCCGCGTCGGGTCGCGCGCCGACGCCCGCGTCGCCACTGTGGGCGGTGCCGCGCCAGCGGCCCACGTGAGCCGCCGCGTGAGGTCTCTGGACGCCCGAAATGGGTACGGAAAGAATGGGTACAATGCCTAGCAGCAGTTCCTGTTCATCTTGAGCAGGACTCGCTGTCCGCGCCGCCGCGGACTGTGTCCACGTCAGACAGAAGGCCGCCCGCCCAACAGCGGCCGCTGTTGGCTTGGGGCAGCATTTGCTGTTGGGCATTCTGCCCATTTCTCTCGGTGCCCATTTCGGGTGTCCAAAAGGTCGCTGTGCCATGACGACCTGTTGATTCTTCTCGCTCACCTGCTTTCGGGCGGCCGCGCGGGCTTCTGAGGAGCCGGTGCCGGGCCTCCTTGGGCGGCGCCTCCGGTGCCGCGCCCCGTGCGCTTCCGGCGGGAGGTCGGGGGGGCAGCGTTTGGGGGGGGGGCGGTCGGAGAATCAGGGCGAACGAACAGCACGCACCCATACCCATTGGGAGGACGGAGAGGGCTGTGGGTGCGTGTTGTCGGACGGGGGTCCCCGCTCGAACGGGAGCCTCCCCCACGGTCTGACAACCCGCACCCGTACCCATAGCAGTTCCTCCTCCCGCCGACCCCCCGATGGGTGTGGGTGTGTGTGTGTTGTCCGTTCGTCATAATTCGGATTAAGTCGGGCCTGTCACTGTACAGGAGGAATATTCAAGACTAGTCAATCAAAACATGGCCAGGGGACGATACATATATATATATAGGTATACACATATGTATGAATGTATGTATGAATGAATGAATGTATGTAATGTAATGTAATGTAATGTAATGTAATGTAATGTAATGTAATGTAATGGAATGGGATGTAATGTAATGTAATGTAATGTACTGTAACGCAATGTAATGTAATGCAATGCAATGTAATGCAATGCAATGTAATGCAATGTAATGTAATGTAATGTAATGTAGTGTAATGTAGTGTAATGTAATGTAATGTAATGTAATGTAATGTAATGTAATGTAATGTAATGTAATGTAGTGTAGTGTAGTGTAGTGTAGTGTAATGTAATGTAATGTAATGTAGTGTAATGTAATGTAATGTAATGTAATGTAATGCAATGTAATGTAATGGAATGTAATGTAATGTAGTGTAATGTAATGTAATGTAATGTAATGTAATGTAATGTAATGTAATGTAATGTAATGTATGTATATGTGCATGTATGTATGTATGTATGCATGCATGCATGTATGTATGTATGTATGTATGCATGCATGCATGCATGCATGCATGTATGTATGTATGTATGTATGCATGCATGCATGCATGCATGCCTGCATGTATACTATATATATATATATATAGAGAGAGATTTGATAATATATATACCAGTTCTGTCTAGTGTGGGGTATTTTTGGGCTGTCTCTTTTATTTTTCGCCCAAAATCCGCCTGTAGGGGGACATGCCCGACCTAACGTTAGGGGCGGCACGCTCGGGCAATTGGGTGATGCGTCGCCCCCCAGCATTGGTTCCGGCGAGAACGAAGGGCGGACAGGTTCGAGACTCCGTGTTTCTTGTTGTTGCTGTCTCCCTCGGCCTCCGGGGGCAGTGTTTCGGGCCACGGGGCCGTGAAACACTGACGCGGGGCGAAGAATTGCACCAGATGCACCCTGGGAGGGGTCCAGGGACCGTTTGGAGCGGATGTGGGAGGAGGAGGCGGAGGAGGGAGAGGAGGAGGAGGAGGAGGAGGAGGGAGATCAGGAGGAGGAGGAGGAGGAGGCGGAGGAGGAGGAGGAGGCGGAGGAGGAGGAGGAGGAGGAGGAGGAGGAGGAGGAGGAGGAGGCGGAGGAGGAGGAGGAGGCGGAGGAGGAGGAGGAGGAGGAGGAGGAGGAGGTGCAGGAGGAGGAGGAGGAGGAGGAGGAGGAGGAGGAGGAGGACCCCCCTCCAACTTATGGTGGTGGTGGTGGTGGAAAACAAGCCCGCCAGATGTGGCTTCATCCCCCTCATTGACTTTCTGGGGTCCCAGCGGGTTCAGACACCCCGGCCGCCTCTAGTCCCCAATCGCCTGTTGGTCGCCGCTGGGGCCTGACAGCCCTCCCCGCCCATGACCCTGCGGATTCGCTACCAGGGGCCTACAGTCAACCTGCATAGTTGTTTCACCCTCATTTGCGTGCTTTTCGCGGCAGGGGGGGCGGGCCCTGGCCCAGGAATTCCGCGCAGACCCAAAGTTTGTGCTGGTGTTAGTTTTTGCTTCTTCTGTGCATGGTCCGTTCTGCACCGAGATAGGGCGCTTCTGGCTGCGGTTGCCGACCGAGCCAGTCGAGTCTGCTGACAGCAGTACGCTGGCCGTAATCGCCGTGACCTACGCGTGGTGGGCCAATCCGTGGCATCACCTCCACTGGTGGATACCAGCGCTTTGGTACTTCAAGGTAGCGTTGAACTTGGAGGCCGACGACGTGGACATCGGCCTCGTGGTGCCCCACCAAGATGCCGAGTGGGGGAAGGGTGCAGCAGAGCCGCCAGAGTGGTCTTACCTGCAGGCGCTGGCAAAGCGAGCAACTTCACCGGTATACACTCTGGGAGGTCCGCGCGGACGCTTCGAGTCGGCGCTGCGGGCCCTCGCGCCGTGCCCCGGCGCGCTCCGTCGGGGCCCGGGAGACCAGGACGCGGCAGGCCAGAACTTCGCGGGATCCAGCGTGGGAAGACGACACACGGGAGAATGGCCCGGGCCCGCGGCTGTAGCCTGGAAGCCGTCTGGGGGTCCGAGGTGGCCCAGCAGTGGTTCTGGCCAGCAGGCAGGGCGGGCAGGTTTGAGGTTCCGGGTCGGGGATGTTTTTGGTCTTTTCCGGGCGCTGGGAGCTGTTTCCGGGCTCCGGGACAGAGAAAGACGGATGCGGGGTGAAAAATCGCACCAGATGGACCCCAGGAGGGGTTTGGGGACAGATTTTGAGTCCCAGCCAGCTCAGGTTCCCTGGCCGCCTCCAAGCTGTAGCTCTTCAGGAGGAAAAGAGACACACAGACACAATTAATCCTCGATTCCCCAGAAAATATGGGAAAATATGGGAAGTGGGGGGGAAGACAGAAACCCAGAAACTATAGGAAAATATAGGGGAATCCTTTTATTTGTGTGGATTTATTTGTGTGTCCCAGTTTGCCTTTACTGTAGCTCTCCTCGGGCGTGCCAGGCGTCCCGGCTTTGCCAAGACGTGCCCCCGTGTACGGGGCCCTGGCTCCGCGCGGCGCCGGCCGAAAATGTCTGCGCGGACCTCCAGCAGTGTATGATGGGCGTGTTTTCCACCACCACCACCATAAGTTGGAGGGGGTGGGTCCTACTCATCCTCCTCCTCCTCCTCCTCCTCCTCCTCCTCCTCCTCCTCCTCGTCCTGCCCCCCTCCAACTTGTGGTGGTGGTGGTGGTGGTGGAAAACAGGCTCATCAGTGTATGTCTTCTGTGTTCGATCATGGATCATGGACCAAGCTGTGGAACGCGAGCGTCCCGCTTTCGCTGGAAATCGCCGAAGGCCGCAGGAAGCTGCTGAAGACAGCCCGAAATCGCCGAACACCGCTAGAAGTCTCCGGAGGCCGCCAGGAGCTGCGGAACACCGCCAGAAACAGGCGAAGGCCGCGGGAAGACCGCCGAAGACCGCCCCAGGCCGAGGGGTAACAGGGGGTCTGTGATTGAATGCGCACTTGGATCGCCGCGGGGGTTGCTAAGGTTATAGGGGGACTATGAGTCGACGCCGAGGTGGGTTACATCTAGCCTAACCTAGCGTATGAGTGGGTTACAAGAGCCCTCAGAGGCGTAGGGGGGTTCGGATAACTCCGCCAAGTGGGCGGGGGCCCACTTAGCTGGGTTCCTGAACCCCCCAAGCCACTTGGCGCACTTGTAACCCACTTATAAGCCAGGTGGGGCCAGATATTGCCCACCTTGGCATCGACTTATCACGCCCCTCGACCCACAGCAACCCCCGCGCCGACCCAGGTAGTATGCCCGTGACGCTTGTCCGTCCCAGGCATCGTGGCCCCGCAAGGCGCTGCCCAGGCGGCAGCACTGGCAGCCTGGCGGGCTCCACGCGGACGTCCTCGGGTGGCTCTCCGCGCGCCCGCCCCGCCCGCTGGGGGAGTTGCGCGGCCAGAGCTACGGGACGATTGTCCTGGGCCTGC